GAAAGAATCAATAAGGAATTTAGCTGTGGTTTTTGTATGTGGTTGTGGAGTTGATGATACTATACTATTTATAGTGAGAAGTTGTTGTGTTATGTTAGCTTGTGTTAGATACAGTTGTAGTAGGTGACATGTGTGGTGTAGTAGTTGGCAAGTGTGGTGTGTTGAGTAATAATGTGATAGTTGATGTAGTGGGTGGTGTGTTAGGTATTAATGGGGTGGGTGAAAAGTTTATAGTGGGTAATGAATTAGATGTGGTCGGTGAATTAATAGTATAATCATTGTACTGTATGACAATATGTATGTTATTTTTGGTAAAATAAAACTGACATTATTTTAGTCTCTGAACATATTGAATTTACTTTGAAAAAAAAAATGAATTTAATTGTATGGTATAACAAGGAGTTAGATTTGTGGTTACAAAACCAACTGAAAAAATGAGCTTTTTTCAAAGTAAAACAAACACCAACAAACATTGCTCACAATCATAAAATTTAATACAATACATAATAACTAAGATGAACATTGCATAACAATTTAAATTATAGAACGCTAAAAACTCCAGTTCTTTAAGCACAACAAGAAGTCCCTGATGGGCTTGAAATTCTTCTTCTATCATGGTTGACGTATCCTCCTTTAGCATTTCTCTGTACGTCTTCCATGACTTTATACGAACTAGATTTTCCAAATCCTTTTGTTTCTTCAAATGAATTACTTTAACCTCACCAATCTCGGCCAACAAACATCCAACATCTTGACCGGTGCTCCCTCCTGCAGTTGTTTTTCCCTTTCTCTTCTCTGCCTTTACTGTTTTATGGCCAATTGGTCGACACATGTACCTGCCCTCAACATCACCACTAGGCTCAACATTTTGGCCAGAGCCAGAAGTGTGATCTCCAGTATCAATTATTCTAGTTTTCTTTCCTCCTCGAGATGTGTGAGATGCTCCATCGAATTTGACATTATCTTTTAGAACTTCCCAACAATGAAGCCATTTAAACCCTCCTTTCTTTTTTCCCTCGCTATTCCAGTCCATTAATGCATTCTGCAAAACAATTACATCATTTTTACCACTTTTTTGATCAGTCCGGCACCTGTTTATTGATGCATTAAAATTGAGACAATCTCTATGGAAAACATAAAAATGCGATTTTGATGACTCCATCGTTCTTTGAATGTGGTTTCGTGCTTGATCGACCTCATTATAGTACTGTGTAATTTGCCTCCAAAAACCATCGAACGTTTGTTGAGCGCCAATGACCGGATCACTTGAGATGGTACAAAAAGCTCGACATAGTAAAACATCATCCTCATGTATCCACGACATTGATGTCGCTTTACCGCATCTTTTAGGCTTAACTTGTTTTCCTTTTTATGAGTACGTATCAAGGAAAATATTGTCAAGTCCTTCAACCTCCGGGATCGTACAATGTCTTGGGACTTCAATGGAACTACTAGAGAATCCAGACGACATGAAATTTTCTTGTTGATAAGGCATCCTAAATGCATTCAGAATGCTATATTGGGGCAGCATTGTCCACATATACTGAGATTGATCTATGTTCATTAAATTTGGTGATTGGGTAAAAGAAGGTTGCTCTGAAGTCTGTGGAATTGGATAATAAGGCATTGGTGTTGGTACTTGAAAAGAAAATTTTTGAAATTGGGGTTGTAGTTGCATTATAGGAAATTAAGAATTTCATATATAACGTGAATTTGCGGAAGACGGGTTGTCATCCTCCGATGAGTTTGGCATATTTAATGTATACAGATTGTTATCCATTGCAACTTTAGAGAAATGTAAGGCAGAGGTCTATGATTTTTATTTTTTTTTTTCCTGATGAGGATGTAATGCCTAACATCACAAGAATCACCTTAATTTATAGAGGGTAGTTTGTATTGTAAATTGATATTTGAAAAAAATACAATATCAATTAATTATGCACATCGATTAAATGAGTGGCAGATGGGCACACAATTCAAAGAGAATTACTAAAAAGATTGAATACGTGACCATACTTCTTGAAACTAATGAGCAAATGCAACTATACAACTGAAAGATAATATTGGTATCAATTAAGTTAGCTTTTATTTTTGATGTGTGACAACACAACTTTTTCACTACATCAATTTTTTAAATTAATAAAAAAAAGTATTTTAAAAATTTAGTAAAATTAAAATTATCTTTAGGCACACATTGCAAAATAACATTTGTTTTTGAAATGTGACAACACAATATTTTCATTTAAATTTTACTTTTGAAAAACTAAAAATAAATAATCAAAATAAAATATGAGATTCAAATTATTTTTTTAAACCAAAACAATCTTGTTTTACTTCCTTTTTGTACGAGCAAAAATTGTTAGTGTTCGTTGTTCTTCAAAAATACCTCGTTTTCAATTGTTTTTTTTCGACAATAATTGAAACTCGTTCTTATTTCAACTACGTTGCTTTCATTTTTTTTTTTCGGGCTGTCAATTAACTCCATTTAATTTTAGACTAAACAACCTCGTTTTACTCCTTTTTGTACGAGCAAAGATTGTTAGTGTTCGTTCTTCTTCGAAAATACCTCGTTTTCAATTTCTTTATTTTACAACAATTGAAACTCTTTCTTATTTCAACTAGTCGCTTTCATTTTTTTTTTGGGCTGTCCTCCCTTTTTTTAAACCAAACAATCTCGTTTTACTTCTTTTTTTGTACGAGAAAAGATTGTTAGTATTCGTTCTTCTTTGAAAATACCTCATTTTCAATTATTTTTTTTTATAACAATTAAAACTCGTTTTTATTTCAATTAATCTTTTTTTTTCGGTTTGTCAATGAACTCCAATTAAATTTAAACCAAACAACCTCGTTTTACTTCCTTTTTGTACGAGCAAAGATTGGTAGTGTTCGTTGTTATTCAAAAATACCTCGTTTTTATTTTTTTTTACAACAATTGAAACGCGTTCTTATTTCAACTAGTCGTTTTTTTTTCGGGTTATCAATTAACTCCAAATTTTTTATACCATACAATGTCGTTTTACTTCATTTTTGTACGAGCAAAGATTGTTAGTGTTCATTCTTCTTCGAAAATACCTCATTTTCAATTTTTTTTCAACAACAACTGAAACTCGTTCTTATTTCAACTAGTCGCTTTCCTTTTTCTTTTTTTGGGCTGACAATTAACTCCAATTAATTTTAAATCAAACAACCTCGTTTTACTTCGTTTTTGTACGAGCAAAGATTGTTAGCATTCGTTCTTCTTTGAAAATACCTTGTTTTCAATCGTTTTTTTTTTTACAACAATGAAAACTCGTTCTTATTTCAGTCAGTCGCCTTCGTTTTTTTTTTTGGGGCTGTCAATTAATACCATTTTTTTAAACCGAACAATCTCGTTTTATTTCTTGTTTGTACGAGCAAAGATTGTTAGTGTTCGTTCTTGTTCGAAATAACCAAGTTTTCAATTGCTATTTTTCGGCAAGAACTACAACTCGTTTTTATTTCAATTAATTGAATTCGTTTTTCTTTTCAGGTTGTCAAGAACTCAATTTTTGTAAACCAAACAACTTCGTTTTATTTTTTATTTTTTTTTTATGAGCAAAGATTGTTGGAGTACGTTCTTCTTCGTAAACATCTTGTTTTCAATTGTTCTTTTTCCGACAACAATCGCAACTCGTTTTTATTTCATTTAATAGCAAAGGTTGAAGAAGAGGTTTATAAATACGAGGAAAACCTCCTCATTAAATCGCAATATAAGTATTAGAACTCCGGGCCGAATCATAGCCGAATCTTCCATTTTTTTTTTTTTTTTTTCTTTCGGCCCAAGAATTTTGGCTTAAGCAGCAGCCCGTTTCAGCTCTTCTATCTCGTCACCAACCCGTCATCAGCCCTATTTTCTCTTCAATTTGGCGCCGCCCCTCTAAATTCACCTTCAAAATCCTCCAAAAATTCCTTCAAATCCGCCCAGCAATTTTTGAGAACCAGCATCTCCGAGTAAGCCTGCCGACGAGTAGACCACCACCGGCCCGGCGACGAGAAGACCAGCGCACGCCGGTGATCGCAAGCCAGCCATTCCCGGCGAGCAGCAGCCGTCTCGGCGAGCCGAAGGCCACCAGATTTCCGGCGAGTCCCATGCGTCTGACCGAGAGCAGGCAGCGTCGGTTGGAACAACTTTCCTAGGACCTGACCATTCGAGGCGGGCCACGCAGCGCCGACGACCGAAGAGCCACCCGTTGCCGGTGAGTCGAACAGCCCTTTCCCGGGCGAGAGCAGGCTGAGAGAATTGCCGGAGAGCTGAGAGCAGACCTTTTGGTCGTGTCTGGAACCCAAAGTTTTCCGCAACGAGGAGCAGCCGAGAGTCACCGACCATATTTCCGACCAGTCCAACTCGAGCACCACCGCGACTGAGAGCAGGCCTAACCGCGGTCGAGAAGCAAGAGCTTCCAGCAGCACCCGAGACCAAGCCCACGACGAGCCAAAAACCGAGCCCTGCCCTTGCACCCTTTTAAGCCGAGAAAGGTATTGATGGTTGCCTCTTTTAGCCTTTTGTGGGCTGAGAATATGTGTTATTCAATGTGTTTAGTTCATTTTTTATTTATGAAAAAGCAAGCCTAAATTTATGAGAAATAATGCATGTTATGCTTTGTCTTTTGGTCTTGTTATTAACATGCTTTGGAGTTATGTTATTGTTGTTTCCTTACTGCCAATATGCTTAGTTTTTCAGAGGCTAAATGCCAAGTTATATTGACTTTTTATTGTGCTAACCTTTGGCTAAGGTTGCGGACCACCTAGGCCACCGCCACGAAAACCTGTCGTTGACGCGAGGCTGGTGATTCACTTGCAGCTTCTCAATCCAAGTACTGATGTCAGGAAACAAGACTGTGGTTGGGCTTTCATGGGAACCTAATTTGGCTGTGTTTTCATCCACCAGAAAGGAAAAATGCCCTGAAACTGAAATCAGTGCTTTGTACAAACCCAATTCTGAGCTCGTCGATGGCTTTTTTGTTCCTCCCAATGACCCCAGAATGTTAAACAAACTGATCAAGAAACAAGTCAAGGACACTACTGGAAAAAATTGGTTTGATATGCCTGCTCAAACCATGACACCGGAGTTGAAAAAAGATCTACAGCTTCTGAAGTTGAGGGGTGCCCTAGATCCGAAGAGGCACTATAAGAAGGGTGATTCTAAATCCAAAACACTGCCCAAGTATTTCCAGGTGGGCACTGTGATAGAGTCGGCAACGGAGTTTTTCTCTGGTAGACTTACTAGAAAGGAGAGAAAGGCAACCCTTGCTGATGAGCTGCTTGCTGATAGTACCCTTGGTGATTATAGAAAACGCAAGGTTCGAGAGATTGAAGAGGCAAACCGGCCTGCTGGGGTGGACAAGTGGAAGAGAAGCAAGTCAAAGAAGCATGCGAAGGGCAGGAAAAAGGTGTAAGCTGCTAAAATAGGTATACACTCAACTAACCATTTTCCGAGGTTGGATCTATACCCTTTTGTTTAGCATGAGGTTAAGAGAGGTTATGTTGATTTACTCTGTTATGTGTCTTTCTACTGAATTGGAATTATACCCATCTGTTTTCGGATGAGAACACGACGTTCTTGTTTTAATTCTGTTATTCACTATAAGCATTTTGTTATTGGTGTATTTATACAATGGATGAATATGGATGGACTAAAAAATAAAACTTTGGCTAAGGTTAGAAGAGAAAAGAGAAGCATCTTTGTTGAGTTGTGGCCATATGTTGGTTTGTTTTTATCTAGGGTTGCTGAACCCTTTTTAGTGCATTTTATATGCTGTAAGAGGAGATAAGTTTCAGCTTTAAAGGTGTGAAAGTCATGCCTAAGTGTTAGCTAGACTTAAGAGAAGAAAGAGGCTTGTTATGTATGCTTTGTGCCTTTTTGACTTAGTTTTTTTTTGTGTGTGCTATCCTTGTTGTTGCGTTGTTGGTGGCTGAGTTGTTATGTTGTTTATGTGTTGTTTTGTTTTGTTTTTGTGAGTTTAGTTTCAGCTTTGTTGGCCCTCTTGGAGTTGGAATAGAAGTGAGAAAAGAAAGAAAAAGAAAAGGTACTTTGGCTTAGTTTAGATGACCACTTTCCCGGGCAGTCTTGAGTAGAAAACCCTTTATACCAGTTTTCTTTAGGCCTGAGAGTTGCCGGAAAAATTTTCGGGCGATCTGTGAAAGTTGTTGGCAAAATCCCTAGCCAGCGAGCTCAAGCCGACAGCCGTAGCCAGGTCGACCCAAGCGGTCGACCAATCGAACCGGGTCTGAACGAACACGGACCGGTTGGTTAGAGCCAATTTAGATTTTTTTTTTTTATTTTTTTTTTATTTTTTATTTTCGAGCCAGATTAGAAATTTTGGTTTTCCGAGAACTCTAGACGATTCTAGTTGAAATATGGTATCTAGACGAAATAGAAAAGCTCATAACCTTATGAGATGATTACACAGTTAATTTATTTCATTTCATGGGAGACCCAAATTTGTAATTTCACCATGCAGAAATCACTCCCTCACCCTAAAAAGCACTGATATGACAAAGCAGATATTGTTATAAATATATGTAGTTGGTTAGCATAACCACCACCATCAATTTTATTGTAAAATAGCGTCTTCGATGTAATTGTATTATTACGGTTATACCATTAGAAGTTTTTCTATAAATAGGAGCTTCAATTATAATGAAATGCACCTAAGAATACATTTTCTCTATTCTTTCTCATTCTCTCTAGTTTTATAACACGTTATCAGCACGAGTCTCTGCCCTATAGAGCTCGATTTGTTATGACGAGAATATGCTTTACGGTTGCATCTTAGAGATGATGTTACAAGTCGATAATTTATTGAGATAATTCTTTAAGACTATAAATTTTCTTTTACTTATAATTCTTTAAGACTATAAATTTTCTTTTACTTTGGCCATTTGGAACAATCTTTTAGCATAAAAAAAAGGGGGAGGAGAATGAATGAAAAAGAAGAATGAAAGATAACCCATAATTTAACCATTTTTTAAATCTACATATGAATCCACACCACTCTCAAACTCTCAGTTTTGATAAAGAAAAAAGAAATCAATGAGTTCATCATTCCAAAGCGCACCAACGTACTGTGATCTCACTACAAAAGAGCTTATGCAAACACTTCAAACCTTTCATGAAATTTTTGGCGACCGGGGAAATGCAAAACAGATGGTGGTAACTCAATATTTCGAGTGAGCGAGGCAAATCGGCCTTCGCTGCAACTGTTCTGGAGAATGCGCTGCTCCTTACGAGAACTCATTTCACCAAAGGAAGGTTGGTACCCGTCATGAGGCTCGATTTGCTCAAAATTATAACGTGGTTTTTTAGTCATAGGAATACATATGCTTCAATGGTCAGAAAGGCAAAATATGAATATTTTGTTTGGTGACACAAATTATCATGTTTTTCTATACTCCACACATCTCAATGATGAAGATAAACCTACCACGTAATTGTATCATGTGGTCCTATGGCCTATATTTGACCATTTGTGGGTAAGCATTTATTTGCATAAATTTCACTATTCATGAATTAAAACTATGCCACAGACAGTCTAAGAAAGTGCTTGTTTGCGAGCACTTTTGAAAAAGTTTATTTAAAATGTACTTATCTAAAATGCACTTCTCCAAAAGTCTCCATCATTTACTTCTACAGAATGAACTTTTTGGAGGAACAACTTATCCTCAAGTCCGTTCTTAATTTAACATCAAACATAAATATTTATCCAAATGGACTTTTTCATCCAAAAGTCCATTTGCAATGTGTTTCCAAACAAGCATTAAGTTATTGGTTGTGTGGTCCTGTGTTTGTTTTTTTAATAGGGCAATTTACATGTATACTTAATTCATTTATAAATAATTGTAAAAATACTAGATGATAAACTTTATTTGCATATTTACCTAACCTAGCATAAATATTTAGATAAATACTACATACAAAAAGTATTCTCTCTCCTCTCTCATTTATCTACTCCTAACAATTCTCATTTATTATCCTAACAATTCTCATTCATTACTCTCTTTCTTGTTCCACATACTATATTTTGTATTCATCCGTTTTTTTTTTCCTTCTCTCCTCCATAATATTCTCCTTCCATCCTCTCTCTTCTCTTTATCCATTCAATTTAAATTTAATTATCTCTTATGTAAATTCGTAAATTATTTTTTACCGTAAATTTATATTTAATTTATTTTTCAGTTTATTATAGGTTTATAAATCAGTTCAAGAACACATAGTAGTTTATTATAGGTTTATAAACCAATACAAGAATATAAAAATTATGAAAACATCAAGTATTCAGAATATCTAGTTTATTTTTCATATCATTATAGGTTTATAAACTAATACAAGAATACATAGATTATGAATAAATATTTATCTAGTGTTTATTAATATTTATGTCTGGTATATGATCAGTTTATGTGTTGTATATTTTAAGTATATGTTTCGTATGCATAATCTGCAATTTTTTAGTGTTGAAAAACAAATTGAATTGTTTGCTATTTTTCTGGTGGCGTGTGATTCTTAATGTAATGTATATTTTAAGTGTTTGATATGTAATATTGTTACAATCAGTTAAGTACGTTTATTTATATTGTCTATAAACGCAATATATACATATTTATGAAAAATATACTATCTATAAACGTACACTCTCAATATACAATAAAAACACGATCATAATATACAGAATATACACGATCACATAAATCAGTTAATGAATATACAGAATATTTCCATAATATACTTAATATATACCAAGTAAAATCTTTACATTTGTTTAAATATGTGTCGAATATACACCAAAAAGAAATAAACATATCAGTTAATGAACATACACAGTTGTTCCAATCAAGAAATATATACATATCATAAACTATTAGCATACCCAATACAGAGACATTGGTTAATGAACATACACAGTTGCTCCAAAAAATCCACAGCAGAAAAAACATGTCACATATACATTACATATACTGAACATATACAACCTAATGTTATTGATAAAATAACAGTTTCGAAGCTATTTAATACAAAATGAATTATATACATACAATATACTCAACATATACAAATTAAATTTTTTATACTTGTTGTTTAAAATTCGTCCTCAAAATTGGAATCCGGCGGAGATCTATTATTTACGGTTGGAGAAAATCATGGGCAACGTGCTTTGATTTTTTGCTTCTTTCATCGTTGAAAGCTTGTTGGAGGAAATCCTGGGCAACCTGATTCAATCGACTTGTTGGAGAAAATCCTAGGCAACCTGCTTTGATTTCTCGCTTCTTTCATGGTTGAAGACTTCCCACCAAGCTTCGGCTTCAGCTACCTCGTCATAATCGCTACCCATGGAATCGTCGTTGTCATCGTTTATCTTCAAATGTTCGAACTCCTGCGACCATGAACTGAAATTTAGGGCTTTTGTTTTCTTCTTTTAACGTATTCTGCTGTGTATATATATGGTGATTGGGGAATTCGAATGGACCTCTCTCTTTATCCAAACAATTTTTAAAGGGGGGAGCAGTTGGAGGAGGAGAATTGTGGCGGATTGTAGAAGAGAAAGATGATGTGTGAGAAAGAGGAAAATAGAGATGGGAAAAGAGAGAAAGCATCAAGAAAGAGGAAAATAGAGATGGGAAAAGAGAGAAAGCATCATGAGAATGGAGATGGGAAAAGAGAGAAAAAGCATCGAGATGGGAAAAGGGAGAGAAATATGGAGGTGGTTTCTTAATTTCAACAAGGGAGAGAAATATGGAGGTGGTTTCTTAATTTCAATAACTATTCTTATTAAGTGAGTAGATAATGTATTTTTATTTCCTAATCTAATAATCTCGTATCTTTGTTAAAGTTTTTAATCTAATGGTAAATGTGCAATAAAATAGGTGAGGTGTAGTGGGTGAGGTAATTTCCTCTTTTTAATATTGGTTGTGACACTGGACTTGAATAGTCCACATTATAGGCTTTCAATTAATTGCACACTATCCTTATTGTTTACAATGACATAGCATAGGAAAACCATGTTTCATTCACTTATTATTTAGGGCAATTTTCATTTATAAGTAAAGGAACTTAAAAGAATTTTATAAATACAAAATAAAAACTTATTTGCAAATATGCCTAATTTAACAAAATTATTTGGATAGCTACAATATAACTGTCAGACAAAAAATAAAGATTTACCATCATAAGATTCTCGTAACTGACGTTATTCTATCTTTCATTAATTAAAAAAAAACAAAATAAAAGAAAATTGAACTATACATCGTCCATCACGAGCAGCGTCAATCACAAGCAGCGTCGTCCATTTTTTGATCAACGAGATGGTGGAGAACACAACATATACAGAAAATATACATAATATAAACAGTATATATACGAAAAATATACAATATATATACCTAGGATCATGTCGATCTT